TCCTATGTAGGAGAGACCACATTCACAATCAAGCTTGTACACTCCTGCATCTTGCAGAGGGACGTTACACTTGACTGATGGTAAAAACTGACCAATCTTCTTCGGCGGCTTGAAGTACGTTTTGATGGAAGCGCGCTTCAAGATGTAGCCAATCTTGTCAGTGACTCCTCTAACATATGGCAGTACAGCAGGTACACGCTCGACTGTGGCCGGCTTCACTCGTTCTCTGTGACGTAGGCGCGGGACCCGAAGCTTGTTGTCATGCAAAACTTGCTTGACATGTTGGAGCTCGGCAGCCAGGTGTTTACTGTCACAGATCCCTCGTGCTCTCTGAAACAAAGATTTACCCACGGTAGCTAACTGTGAAGGATGGTGGTGAGAATCACCGTTTAAATATCTATCTGTATGGGTCTTTTTTCTATACACAGTATGGCTCAAGGTGTTATCAGGATTCCGAATTACTAACACATCTAGAAAAGCTAAGGAATTGTTTGCCTCTAACTCCATTGTGAACTGAATTTTAGTATTTATAGAGTTAAGATGGTCTAAAAATGCAGTTACTTTATCTAAAGGTAGAATTGTGAAAGTGTCGTCTACGTACCGCTTGTAGAATCTTGGATTTATGGGAGAAGTAAGCAGGGCTTTCTCCTCAAAGTCTTCCATGAATATGTCGGCGACAATGGGAGATACAGGTGAGCCCATCGCCACACCATCTACTTGCTTGTAGAACTCCTCCTTCCACAATAGGTAGCCAGATGTAAGGCAGTGTCTGAGTAATACTGCATATTCTACGGGCATGTTGTTTTCTTCCAGCCTTCTAGTTACAATTGTCTTCAACAGGTAAGCATGTAAACAATGACTGCACATCAAAACTGACCATAGTTTCATTGTCTGCCAGACGTAGGTCTTTAATCTCGCTGACAAAATGGTAGGAATCCTTTATGTGTGCTCTTGTATGTCCCCTGAGCGGTGAGAGTATTTTCGCTAAGTGTTGAGCCAATCTGTAAGTTGGTGAATCGATTTGGCTCACTATGGGGCGTAATGGAGCATTGGGCTTGTGTATTTTTGGTAACCCATACAACTTTGGTGATTTGGCGCACGTAGGTACGTGATTTGGCGCACGTAGGATTTGGCGCACGTAAAAGTTAAACATACGCGATAAATTCCGTAAAAATTAGTATTATTTCAATGTGTAGTGTTCGCGTAAATATAAGAAATCATTATCTTAAAAAATATTTTAAAGATAGATAGAAATAAACCAAAATGATTCCAAAAATGTCTCCCATAGCTGAATTTGGTACGGAACACTCGAAATGCTGAATGTTTTTAAATGCTGTCGAATAATTTTAAAATGATATTGATAGGTAGAGCACTTTTTTGCCTAGGAGTCAGAGGTGAACAAGGTTGAACGAAAATAGAACTTTTAGCTCTTTCGGTCACTTTAATATTATTAACTGTATATGGATAGAGTCATACTGCCGTGTAATATAACTGCAACATGAATGGTCAGCTTGACCAGGGGAAGATATAGCACAGAATACCAGCGTGAAATAGCAGCATAATGCTGCTGTGTTTTGTATGGTGAATGGCGACACCGAAGACTGGTAACTCACTGGTAACAACTTAATCCATCTTATTAAGGGTAACAAAGGAACTGCACTTTGATCCTTAATAGAGGATAATAATATCTAATAATGTCTCCCAGACCAAAATTCCGTTATGGTGGCCAATCTCATCGGAGACCAACCGCCTTCTCAAAACATAATTAAGCACATGTGGCCTCTCCATTTCCTCAATAATTCACTGTACGATGGGACGGCAATTCAACACGTTCGAAGGGAAATCAGGCGCATGAACAATAGGCTTCATGTTCTTTCCGAGGCACAGGTATGAAATATCGCCAACTTTCTGACTCCGAGCTTCTACTGAGAATTTCATGACAGAAGATCTTAATAACTGATTTGGACAGACCTGCTTACAGTCATTAGACTAACAGGGCAGTCACAGTATAATTATTTTAATCGAGGATAGATGCTTGAGAGAATTTATCAAATTTAAATCCCAAAAAAATTATTATTTCATTAATAGCCTCTAAGCATCACTTTTCCCATAACTCTTAGACTGTGTAGTTGAGTAGTCGCACTATCAGAATTCAGGACTTACGGATCAAGACAGCTAAGACATTCTGATAGAAGAATTTAATTTTACGTCCTTAAAACAAAAATAACTCAAAGTTAAGATTACCTGAAACATAATTAACTATTAACATTTAAACTGCAACAATACTTTTTTGAATAAGAAATATTGATTTCGTTTTTTTTTGTTAGGCACATGTGGCCCCTCCTTCCTAACATCACGGGGGGGGGGCGTGACGTTGGAAATAAAAAATAAGTGAGATTAAGTGCGACAAAATCCTTAAAAATATTTTTGTTTCAAGTGCATAATAATATGTTTGAAAGGTTTACCTCAAATTAAAAAATATAGGTAGTAAATCCCATATTTAATGGCCACCTACATACATTTCCTTTACCATAAATTCGAAATTATCTGAACAAACGCCTCTGATGACTTTACATTCTAAAAATAAAACTCAAATATGCTGGAATAACAAAGCGTCATAACATAATTGAACTAAACGCCTTCTGTACAAATTGTATCCAAAAATCATAAATGGAAGAAGGTTGTAAGGAGGCTTTTGCCCTGCAGTAGGACGAAATAAGTAAAAAATAAAAATAAACAGGCTGTAGATACGTAACTACAGCCCGGATTATCGGCTCGTCCAGGGAAGCATCACGTTCGTAGAGAATACCAGCGCAAAATAGCAGCATAATGCTTCTGTGTTTCATGATGTGGGTGTAGAGAACCGGAGACCCTTTTTACTGGAAACGAGGCATTACATCTTAGTTCTCAGGAGTGACAACGTCTAAAATCTTCATTTTAGATTCTTAATCGAGACTATGTAGTGTATATGAACCACATCATCTACTTAAGATCACGTGTATTATGTAAAAGTTAGTTAGTTACAGCCTATATACGTCCCACTGCTGGGCACAGGCCTCCCCTCAGTTCTGAGAGGGTTTAGGGCAAGGTAGTGTCCGCCGCGCTGCCCCAATTCGTGTTGGCGAACTTCACATGTCTTCGAAAATATTTTTCTTTCTTATTCCTCAGACATGCAAGTTTCCTCACGATGTTTTCCTTCACCGCCGAGCACGTAGTAAATCAGCGCTTGAAATTGCAATTAACTATTTCATTGGTGCCGGCGGGGATCGAATCCGGGTTACTCGCGTTCTGTTATATATACAGCGAGCGTTAACCATTTGAGCTACCACGGCTCTCGGTATCGGGTATTATGTACACGGGTATTACTTTTATAAATAATAAATAATAAAAATTGTCTTCTAAAAAGTAAGAAGTGAATATTCGTCGTGGAGATGTATGATATATGTACTTTTTTTTTATAGAATTAGGGTGACAAACGAGCACACAGTCCACGTGATGGTAAGTGGTGTGGCCCACAGACATCTACATTTAACGTCAATTAAGGATCAAAATGCAAATGCGTTGTCACCCCTGAAGACTAAGATGGAATGCCTCGATTTCAATAAAACAGGTCTTCGGTTCTCTACACTCACCATACGAAACACAGCAGCATTATGCTGTTATTTTACGCTGGTATTCTGTGAGAGCGTGGTCTTCCCCGGTCGAGCCGACCCTTCTGTGCTACAACCATAATATAGCTGCAGCTCTACCACGTATAAACGTACGTAAACGACCTCAGCTTTTCGCATTTCTCATATATAAATTAGTTTGTACAACCGAATACAATCGAATCGAAAAACCTTTTTTGAAGTCGGTTGATAAAAATATAACCCATTAACAGCGGAATATTTGTCATGTCTTGGATTTTCGTGATTCTTAAATATTTTAAAATTTATAACAACCCTAACATAAAATCAAGGTTTAAAGAAATATGCATATCATACTTTTGGAAATATAATATATAGTAGCAAAAATAAATTAAACTCATACTTTTTAAATCAAGCTTTATTCGAATAAAAAGTAAGTATTACAGAGCATTATTAGGAAAAAAGGTTAAACATTTCAAAATGTTAAGTTAATTAAACCGTACAGATTTTCCGCGCAAGAATTGTTTACATCCATGCCTGCCATAGTACTCGATCATAGATTCATCATAGTTCAGATTTGGGTTTGGTACGTAGTTATTGCAAAATTTTTGTTTCAGCATATTTATCAGAGGTCTTAGCTTCCACATTTTATCTGAAGAAACTATATTGGTATGCCAGTCTCGTACAAAAAAAAGTGGGAAAAGACCCGGTCCCCCCCACGTATTATCAGCACAATATAAGAATCTCATGATTGTTCTGAACCTATCTCTTCGCATTGTATATCAGATTGTTCTTCAAGTCGTCTCCTTGATCCTAGTAATGATGTATTGATGGAACAGTATTATATCCAGAATTGAGAAGGATCGCAACGAAAGCTTTCATTTCATCAACCGAAATTTTTGAATTCGGGCAATTTAGGAAGACGGCTTACTTCCGAGATTCAGTTACTAGAAATTCATAAAAAGATTCATCCAAAAATAACTAACATTTCGATTGGAGACTTTCCTCTAAATTTGCTGTAGTGAGGATTAGAAAATATCGGTCTTGACTCACACAAATCTTCTTGAAGCCAGGTTTGAGAAGAACTCCTTAATTTTGTGGCAAAGGCTCATAATCATCCTTCGAATCATCAGACGAAGTAGTCTGGGATAGTTCTTCTGACACAGCAATGTTGTTTTGAATACCGCGAGATCCACTGCGACCACCTCGCCCTCGACCTCTCGCTCGACCACAACCTCGAAGAGGAACACTGCCACAACTGGCTGATGAGACGTATTTAGAGACTCATTCGGTACTTTGCTACCATCACATTTAGTGCCTTTTGAGTTTTTAGATGTTTTTTTCTTTGACGTTAATACTACTTTACATTTGCACTTACACCGGATTGTTAATCAAGCCTGATTGATCTTCATCTGCCGAGTCTTCATCGGTATGCATGGCTGGATCTGGAGGCTCAATGAAAATACAAGACGGGTCCAAATCTTCAACATCTTCAAGAGCTGCATGTGCATCATGTAGTGCATAGCTCCTAAAATAACAAAAAATATATCATTACGACCTCGAATTGTTATTGATAAATCAAAAATGTATTCATAGTTAATATTTGATCACATATTCGGCTACTGATGCAATTTGGCATCACTCACATTTGCCATGCTATATAATGTAAACAGATACAAACTGATAAAATAGAAATTAAGAGATACAATACACACACCAGTAAATAATTAAAATATTAAAGAATTACTTGATAGGAAAGTCCATTTTGCCGGTCGTTTTTCAACATTGAAGTTTGAAACGTTGGTTTGTCATAATTCTTAATCGTGATTGGACTAAATCAATATAAAATGGGTGCGTTTGGCAGAAAAAAGCGCTAGCAAGCGCTTGTAAGCAAAATGGCGATCGTAAGCGGTAATCGCTGTCAAATCGTAAGTAGCTATTTTCCTCTAGGACACGATGTTAGTTTCAACTGGGGAACCTAACCTAATTTAAATACATGTTTGTGAAGTATTCATATTAAAAACTTACCAATCATGAATTTTTAATAACGTATATGTCTATTCATGTCATTATATTACTTAAAACTAATATTGTAAAAAACAACTTATAAATTCTACTTCAAAACAAACAAATTAAATAAGCAAAATGGCGGATTGTGTCAGCGCTACTGAAGTAGCAATCGTGTCCTGGCCGAAAACTATTTTAGCGCTAGTAAGCGCTTGCTAGCGCTTTTTTCTGCCAAACGCACCCAATTACAGCCCGAACTTTTTTCTTATGTCCCTGTGATTGGTTATTTGATTAATTGCGCGTAAACAAAAAATAACCGCGAAAATTCAAACGCAGTTTAGTGATGCCATACTGCACCGTACGCCGTTAATGGGATAAGTATCGTGTAGTGATCCCAAATCGTTGTCTTAAGTGTCGATTACGCGACCTTAATTGATCAAAACGTTCAGAAATTACACGATCACTAAACAGACGATTATACGTGGTAGAGTCACGCTGCAGCTATATTATGCTTGTAGCACGAATTTACTGATACTAGCATAAAATAGCAGCTTAATGCTGCTGTGTTTCGTATGGTGAGTGCAGAGCACCGGAGATCCTTTTTACTGGAAACGCGGCATTCCACCTTAGTAATCATTGGTAACAACGCATCTGTATTTTGATTCTTATTTGAGGATAAATTTAGATGTCTGTGGGCCATAGCATCATGTTACCATCAGTGCATTGTGTGCTCGTTGTCACAGAATACTATTAAAAAAATCGCATGGAAGCCATCCGTGCGAGCTTCAGCGAACATTTCCGATAAGCTACAAAAGCGAGGTAGCCCCAACAGTGTCCTAAAGTTGTATTTTTTATAAAATAAGGGTGACAAGCGAGCACACAGTCCATCTGATGGTAAGTGGATGCTGTGGCCCATTGACATCCACATTTATCCTCGATTAAGAATCATAACACAGATTGGTTGTCACCCCTGAGGACTAAGATGAAATGCCTCGTTTCCAGTAAAAAAGGATCTCTGGATCTCTACACTCACCATACGAAACACAGCAGTATTAAGCTGCTATTTTACGCTGGTATTCTGTGAGAGCGTGATCCTTCTTAGGCCGACCCATTCATGCTACAACCATAGTATAGCTGCAGAGTGGCTACACCACGTATAAAAATGTGTGTATATAATTATTCCAGATCTGGACTTTGTCCATTATACAATCAATGTGTGTAAAACTCCTAAGAATAACTCCTACAATACAGGACGAAATACCAATGTTTTTAGTTTACGTAAAACTTCTGTAACTGCCAAATAAATGTTATTTGGCAGTTACAGAAATTTTTTCAGTCTATGTTTACAATGATTGGAATTCGACAGTTATATTAGATACTTCAAGTTTTCAATTAAATTGAGTATTTGTAGGAGTTTATTATGTATAATTAAATATTTACACATTTTTAATTATACATTTATAATTAGTTGTTACTAATTATTACGATGTGTATTTTTACCTGATACTGCAGCTATATTATGGTTGCAGCGATAGTGAGTCGGCGGCCTTGAGGCCGCGCCTTGCAGGCCGCGAGCCCTGTGACAAGATGAAGCTGTAAGAGTCGCATAGACTAACAGCACTAACATCTAGATAATAGAGTGAGTCGGCTTGACCGGAAAGGGCCCCGCTCTCACAAAATATCAACGTAAAATAGCAGCTCAATGTTGCTGTGTTTCATATGATGAGTGAAAAGTAACGGAGAACCTTTTTACCGGTAAGAAGGCATTTCATCTTAGTTCTCAGGGGTCGCAACGCATCTGCCTTTTGATTCTTAATCGAGGACGAGTACTTGTGTGATAAAAGGTAAGAAAACGACTGTGTACTCGTTTTTCATCCTTATTCTATAAAAACTTAAATTATAATTTAATATTCTATAGAAATAATTTAATTCTATAATAAATCTAAAATATAATTTAATTCTATAGAATCAAGTGAAATTTTCAATACATAAATGTAATTGTAATATTATTATCTTTTTGGAAAAACATTTGAATTGTAAGTAGTAGAGCCATATTGCAGCCGTATTACGGTTGTAGCACGAATGGGTCGGCTCGACCGGGGAAGGACCACGCTCTCACAGAATAACAGTGTAAAATAGCAGCTTAAAGCTTCTGTGTTTCGTGTAGTGAGTGTAGAGAACCGTAGACCCGTTTTACTGTAATCGAGGCATTCCATCTTCAATCAAAATGCAGGTGCGTTGTTATCTATGGGCCACAGCATCCACTTACCATCAGGTGGACTGTGTGCTCGTTTGTCACCCTTATCCTATAAAAAAAAACTGACCCCCCACACATTGAAAGAATCATTAGAAAAATAAATGTATATTATGCATATGGAGAAATAGATGAAGAATGAGTCAAAACTATCATGATTGAAAAATTCTACAAGCGGGCTTAATTGCTACGAGTATCCTATACCTTTAATATCTTTTTGTCCGTGTTTTCAGGCAATGAAAAACTGCTACAATATAAGAAGGTAAATTTTGAATTGAAATTGTATTAATGATCGTAATAGCTCAAGTGGATATCGAGCGGTCGCGAAATCGTAATGCCTTGGTTCACGTCCAGTCTTCGGTACGACTTTTCCTTTATTTTTTTCAAGTTCCCTTCTTTTGTGAGAAAATCTATTATGTCGAGCCCTTTTTTTAGTATTTTTGAAAAATATGAAAATTTTTAATTAAACTAATTGCATAAAAAACTTTAATTAAAACCGAGCAAAGCTCGGTCATCCAGGTACTGTTTAACAATTTAAGAGAGCAGCTGGTAGCACAAACAAATCATATCAGTAATTCATTACAGTCTGTCAAATGTCAACTGCTGAGGGTTCCCCCTTCGATTAAAAAGAACATAGGTATGTATTTATTCCTGCATCTTGCTTCTACAAGACATTAATTTTACAAACAAATAAACTACAGAATATTAGGAAGAAAACTTATTGGATTTAGTGTTAAATTTAGGATTATGGAAACATACCCCCGCTTGGCAGGTAAGTTTGCAAACCCCAGTTTTTTTTATAGGATTAAGTGACAAACAAGCACACAGTTTACCTGATGGTAAGTGGTTGCTGCGGCTCATAGACATCTACATCTATCCTCAATTACGAATCAAAATGCAGATGCGTTGTCACCCCTGAGGACTAAGATGGAATTCCTCGTTTCCAGTAAAAAGGGTCTCCGGTTCTCTACACTCACCATACGAAACACAGCAGCATTAAGCTACTATTTCACGCTGGTATTCTGTGAGAGCGTGGTCCTTCCCCGGTCGAGCCGACCAATTCGTGCTACAACTATACTACTAATATAACTGCAGCATGGTTCTACCACGTATAAAATTTCAGTTATTATATATTCAGTTTAGTTTAGTTATTTTATTTCAGTTATTAACAGGAAGATGCTGCTCCTCATCTCCCGCTTCATTTCCTTCGGTCGCCTCTTACGACACAATAATACATACTAGTGGATTCTCCGAGGCGTACTACACTTTACGCAAAAAATGTGATTTAATTATCCAGCTAAAATTTAAAAATAAAGCAATTGAAACGGCATGCTGACGGATTTCCGCGCTCACGTCGCAATGTAGCATTTCTTTCTACAAAACTATCTTTAGCTCCCCCTCCCTTCACCTCCCCTCGCCTGTACTTGTGTGCGTAGAGAAATTCTACCCACACTGAGCCACCCCCCGCTTTCACGGTTCTAATTTTTGGGGAATTTGGGGCATATTCGTAAATATGAAATGGAAAAAATATTTCGCGATAAATTGTATTTTGAACTTTATTGCGTTGCTGTAAAGTATCATTTCTAATGAGTTTTTCACCGAAAAAAAATTACTTCATATGTCGTCCTTAAGACGGAGCACCGCGCGCTTCGTATGTGTGTTGCGGGCAAAGTTGAAGTGGAGTGGGTGTTGGCGAAATATTTCTATTTCTTTATATTTATTAGTCAAAGAAAACGAATCTAAAGTGAAAGTAGGCTGGTCATGTAGCTATATAGATAACCGATGAGGAAGATAAATTCTAGAGTAATAGTCTCGTAAAAGGATGCGGAGTGTAGGACTGCCCCCACTAGATGTAGTGATGACCTAGTAAAATATGCAGAAAGTTATTAGACGCAGGTAGGCTATTTTCAGTGGTAAAACTGTAAAGGCCTTTTATGATGATGAGGATGATAATAATTAATAAAACGTTCTGCGATTTTCTTTAAACATTTATTTACCATATAAACAGACATAACCATAATATGAATTTCCTATGTTTCGGAATTAGATAATAATGCGTTAAGTCTTAACAAAATCACTGATTTGAAAGTGATAAACAGATCATTATAACTTATCGTGATAGTGGATATTCTTACACCGTCATTACACGGTTGTACATGTACAGTCATTTTTATTGAGTAATAATTTTTAAAAGCTAATAAGGCTAATAAGCTTATAAAAACTCTCTTTTTCAACAGTTTTACAAATCTATCATATAATTTAACATC